TTCAAGATATTTTTTTCTGTATATGAAGTTAATTTCCCAATAGTAAAAAAAACAACAATAACAACTAAGAATATTAATACACCCTGGATTACTAAAGGTTTTAAAAAATCATCCAGAATAAAACAAAAGTTATACATAAATTTTTTAAAAACAGCTTCAAGTAAAAAAAACTTAAGAACTACAAAAACCTACTTGAAAAAATTCGCAAAAATTTAAGGAAAAATTATTACTCCCAATTATTCAATACATTTAAAAACGATACAAAGTGCACATGGCAAATAATGAAAGAAATAATTCGCAAAAATAAACCATGCTCAGGTTTTCTGTCACGAATGGTTAGAGTCGATAACAAAAGTTTATATTAACCAAAAATTATAGCTCAAGAATTTAACAAATATTTCACTCATATAGGACCAACACTGAAAAAATTCCTAAGACCAAATCTTTGTTTACTGACTATCTAGAACCCCTGGATAATTACATTTGTTCAGATGAGTTATCTTCCGAATTAATGTTTGATGAGTTTGAAAGAGCCTTTAAATCTGTTTAAAAAAATAAAGCAATTGGAGCAGATCAAATTAATGGAAACGTGGTTTTAGATTGCTTTGAACAACTTAAAGTTGTTCTTTTTAAAATCTTTAGGGCTTCTATCCATCAAAGAGTATTCACAGAACAATTAAAAAATGCAAAAATTACTCCTTTTTTTAAAGAAGGGGACAAATCTGAAATCAGTAATTATCGCCCTATCTCTGTTCTCTCCACATTTTCGAAAATTTTAGAAAAAATTATGTTTAACAGAATATACAAATATTTTTATGATAATAATCTACTTTACATCAATCAATTTGGTTTCAAGAAAAATAACTCAACTGAACATGCGGTTATCCAATTTGTACGTTAAATCTCAAAATCATTCGAAAAATCACAATATACACTAGGAACTTTTATTGCCCTATCAAAAGCTTTTGATACGGTCGATCACCATATTTTAATTTATAAACTCGAATACTGCGGAATAAAAAATAAAATTTTAAAATGGTTTAAAAGTTATCTATCTAACCGCATTATGTATGCAGATGATACAAATTTATTCCTTTCTAACTATGATATCAATGAACTTTTTAAAACAGTGAACAAAGAACTCATACATATATCTAATTGGTTCAAGTACAATAAGTTAACCTTAAATACTAATAAAGCAAAATGGGTTTTATTTCATTCGATTACAAAAAAGCAATTTCTCCCATCAAAATTACCTCAAATCTTTATCGATCAAAAGGAAATAAAAAGAGATTTTGTAACAAAATTTTTAGGTGTTTATCTTGATGAAAACATTACTTGGAATCACGATATTGATATATAAGCACAAAAATTTCTAAAAACACGGGCATCCTATATAAATCACGAATCTATCTCAATAAGAAAGTCCTAATCCAACTTTACTATTCATTTATACATAGTTATTTAAATCATGCCAATATTGCTTGGGGAAGTACAGAAAAAAGTAAGTTGCAACGTCTTTATCTCCGTCAGAAAACACGCAATCCGTATAATCAATTTTGAAAATCGCTTCTCTCATTCGAAGCATTATTTTATTGAAATGAGAACTCTGAGTTAAATGTATTTAATATTTTATGTTTTGTCTATATGTGGATAAATAACTTATCCCTAGCCGTATTCAAAGATCTTTTCTCTTTTAAACCTGTCAGTAAATATATTTTGAGAAATAATAACTTTTTAAATGAGCCTTTCTGTCAAACAAACTTTAATCAATTTTGTATTACCTATCGAGTGCAACACCTTTGGAATAAAATTGTTTTGGCGAATTTTAATTTTGAAGTATCTATTACTTTTTGTCTCTTTAAAAAAAACTGAAAAACTTCATTTTTTCATTAGATAATATATTGAGTTATTATTATTAGTAAAAAATAGTTTTTTTTATTTTTTATTGAATTTTTATGTTTATAGAAGTTTATTCCTACTTATTTTATTTATTGTTCTTATACTTTTTACTTTTTAATTTATATTGTATAAAAATCTGATCAGAAGATCCTCTTGATCTTTCTTCAGACACAGATTGTTTGCATTGCAATTTTGTAAAAGTTTATTAATTTTTTTTTTTTTTAATGCTTTTTTAAAATCTTTTATTTGTTAAATGCTTTTTTAAGGTTCTGACGACAAGATCCTTGCAATCTTCTTTCAGATACCTTGTTTATTTTTGTTATGTTTTACGCCATTGTAAGTTTATATTATTATTTTTATTATGGGCTGTACAACGATTAACAAATGTAAACCAAAAAAAAAAAAAAAAAAAAAAAAAAGACGCCCAGGTGCAATCGCATATTTTTAATATCTATCAAAGTTAGATAATTAGGAATGACAATAATTTCAATTATTATACTTGAATACGTTTATGTAAAAAGTTGAATAGAAATAATTTTGTTGGAAATTAGATTTCGTATTATTTTATTTGTTTTTTATAAATGAGTTTTTGAATAAAGTATAAAGCTAAGAGTATATCGAATGAGAAAACTGTAAGTACAAAGAATGTCTACACAGTAAATGCAAACGTGCAACAAAATCAGCAAATAATCTGAGTTGTGGCATTTGTAAAGAAAATGTACCAAGAAAAGTGTACCCCAACAATAATTGGGAGGGTGTGATTGTGACTCACAATGGGGGCAAAACCGTTTTTTTCACTATGTGTAAATTTTTGTGTAATAACATTTTCAAAAACCGTTTAATTTTTTTCTTAATTGCACCAATTTAAAGCTTAATGATGTGGTTGTTACAATAAGCTGTTAAAATAACACGTTTTGTTTTTATTTTTATAAAACATTAATCCAAATGTCACGGGGATGGTTATGCCCATATCTTGTTGTAAGATCCATTTGCGAGTTATTTTATGCTTTGCATGTGGCAGAGTAACATTCTTTATGATGTCTAAACAAACTCTCTGGTCCATAATACCTGCTATGTGATAAATAGGACCCATATTGTCACGACTGAAACATCCCAAACCATAATATTTCCTCCTTCATGTTCAACAATTGGTAACTAATTTTTTGGTTTAAATCTGTCTCCTACTGGGCGCCTAACATACCTAATTCTGTCACTTATTGCATAAACTTTGGTTCATCAGAAAAAAGGAATTTTGACCGGTCATTAATTGACCAACTAATATAATCTGTTGCAAAATTTTTTTGGTTTTTAAATTTCATGTAAATATTAGCGGTTTCTTAACTGGACGACGGCAATATTATTTTGTCACAATCGACCTTTAGTTGTATCAACGCTACAGTTTGTGCCATAAAACTGATGCATAAATAAATTATATTCGACAGCTGTTTTGTGAGCATTATTTTTGGAATACTTTACTAATAATCTATCAGACTCTTCAGTTGTAACATTAGGTCTTCTAGAGCAAGGTTTGCTTGCAATAGTTTTTTGCAATTAGTTTTGCATAGACGTAAAAGTTTAGTTATGCATAGACGAATTCTTTTCATGTGACTTACTCCTGGTTTAGAAACATTGTAAAGTTTAGAAATCTGCTTGTTAATCATTTTTTTTCCCACAGCTTTTATAATTAATTCCTTTATTTCCTTTGAAATTTCCTTAGGTTTTCCCATGCTTTTAAAATATTTTTAAGTTATTGAATTATAAAATTTTACAAATATTTTGGCAATCTTCTAAACTTTTGCACAAAAACTTTTTCAAAAAAAAGTTAAATGTTAATTAACCGTTCAGTTTTACAACTTTTATGGTTTGTATTTTAAATTGATATAATATAGAGTTTATTAGGTAAAAATTCTAGCTTACTTAAGGGGCTATCCCCCCATAAAATTTCAAAATTTTCAATTTTTTTTTTTTTTAATTTTAACTCTTTCAAAGTTTGTGAAAAGTTATGTAGTAAAAACTGAAAAAATGTTGGTGTTTCTATACTCTTGTACGCAACTGTATATATATATATATATATATATATATATATATATATATATATATATATATATATATATATATATATTTATATATCATTAGTCAAAAAAAAGAAAACATCAGAGTTATATTTACTTCAGCTCCCAATTTAAATAACATATTATGTAACAACAAAACAAAACTACCTCTGAACTCAAATCCGGGAGTTTATCAATTTAAATGCTCATGCGGATATATATTGATGAGACCAAAAAGCAAATCATTTCAAGAAGTGCAGAACACCAAAGAGCTTGCAAAAATTAAAAATGGTCAAGTTCAGGAGCCACGGAACATTCTAGAACATGCCGTGGTAACTTTGATTGGTTAAATCCTAAGACCTTGGCAGTTGTTCAATAATACAGTATACGAAAAATTAGAGAATCCCTGGAGACTAACAAAGCGAAAGTTCGATTTGAGATAGGTATTGGGGAAAGTGTTAATAAAAATAACAAAATTTAACTGACGTCATTATTATATTATTTAATTGGTTTTATTATTTGACGCGTTTTAATGTCTTCTTTTTAAACGATTTGTTTTATGTTATTTAGTAACGTTTTATTATTACCTGATGACGCTGACCACAATAGGTCAGCGAAATATCGTTAAAATATTTTTACATCAAAATATATCTACTATAGCATATTTATATGCGCAACTGCTCACTTTTTTTGTTAGCCTAAATTAAGTGAGCGTTTTTAGAAAACGATGATAGAAAACGCAGAATAATGAATGAAAATTGCTGACCCATACCAAACCCTCAGTCGATGTAGCAGCACTCCATTGCGAGTCAGGCTATTTGTCATTCGATGTATGTACTGAAGCCCCCAGCAGCAGGCAATTTGAGGTTAGATAAGTATGACATCATCATGCTCACCTAACTCAGCAGTATAAGATATATAAATATATATATATATATATATATATATATATATATATATATATATATATATATATATATATATATATATACAAAAATAGTATTATTATTATTATATAAAATAAACTTTAAAGTCAATAAAACTCACCAGTATTTTACCTTGAAGGTTTTGAGCAGATACAAGTAAACCAGCAGCTTCAACTATTGCAAGGTATGTTGTTTGCTCCAATAAAACTACATCACTATCATCTTCTTCATATTTGAAATAATTCTTATGTTCGACTATGTTTTTTCTGCGCGCATATCGCTGAAAAATTTTAGTAGCGCGATATATAAGTATTAATAAAATTCCTCCAATGTATAAAATTATGGAAATACCAATGTAATAATTCCATATTCTGCTTTCAGCAAGTTTTGAGGGATTGCAAACCATTCTTAAATATACTTTGAACTTTAAAGTAAATTTATCTATAAATCTATGTTACTTATCTTTTAGAGTCTAGTTAAATTACGCATTAACCGCATCAACATTGAGAAAAAAATCTGTCTGTCAGAAAATATATAATTATGAATAGATAATTACAAACATTTAATTATATATTTTGAGCTGTCGACATTAAAACTTAGTTTTATACTAACCTTTAAATTATTTATTCAATTCAGGTTTTTTTTCAAAAGTAAAAGTCTTCAACTTTGTTCTTGATTTAATCATGGAAGTATAAAATATGTTTTATACTTCCATGATGTAATTAAGCTAAAAATGAACTACCATAATTTTATTTCGATTCAAAGATAACTATCAAGAATGTTTTAATCAAGACCGGAATAAGGGGAGAGAAGATCGGACGCCAAGTTTTCAACTTTGTTTTTTATATTATCAATTTTTAGCAATATTTTATAGTAACATTTTACAAATTTTATTTAAATTTTAAAAAAGTTTTAAAAGCTTGTGTAGTTTTTTTATTTTTTTTTATATATATATATATATTTTCTTAGTAACAAAACTAATTTGAGTATGCTGGACTTTTTAGGATATTTTTGTTAAGAATCTTAAAAAAACCGTAACAATATAGTCAAGTAGAAAATTAACAATACGACAAACAAACGTGCTTGCTGCTTCTTTGGTAAGACATGGACGTTTGTGGCGAAGAGCATGAATATGGGAGTTGCAGTATACAAACGGATATCAACGGCATATTGATAATGATTTGTGTCATGTTTAACTTTTATTATTATTTTTTTTTTTTGTTCTTTTTATTTCTTTTTACATTTTAAACAAGCAGTTACAATATTTAAAATAAAGATATATAATAATAAAAAATATAAATATAATGATTGCTATTAAACAATAAAAAAACGCAAGGACTCGTACAAGACCATAAAGTCTTATCATAGAGTACCGCTAAGAAATGTTTGAGTTAAAATTTATAAGATATTTACAAGATAAAAAATAAGTTAACGAAGTTAGAAACTCAAAATACTCCGTTATTAATATAAGACGCGTTATATCTATTATATATTTAGATTACAGTTATTAATGATACCTATCAATTTTTATAAATTCACGGTAAATTAGAGGGTAAAATGGTAGACAACTTAAAAAAATCAGAAGAATATTGTTAAATCTTCAACTGTAAGGTTACAATGTGATATTTAATCAGATAATCGCAATGATGTAATTTTTATGCAGCGAATCGTATGGCGATTTATTGTGAGTTAACTTTTATGGAAAAGTTGAGTGCAATTTAATGCAATTTTTTATTGGTTTTTATCGCATTATCGAAAAAAAATCGCTTTTCTTCTAACCGCCAATGCGGTAACGCCAGTGTTTAGTTGGCATGAGTCTTTAAAATATATAAGACGTGCTACATACTTCTGTTGATAATAAAGAGGTTTAAATTTGTTTTTGTTTATACTAACCCAAGCAATCTTTGCATAGTTTATGTGACAATGAATAAATGAGTGATATAATTGTACTAAAATACGTTTATTTAAAACATTTCTTGCGAAGTACAATACTCCTATACTTTTTGAAATTTTATATGATAATTTTTTAATGTGATTTTTCCATGTAAGATTTTCATCTATACAAACACGTAGAAGAAAACACCTAAAAGAAAACACCTAAAAGAAAACACCTAGAAGAAAACATCTAGAAGAAAACACCTAGAAGAAAACACCTAGAAGAAAACACCTAGAAGAAAACACCTAGAAGAAAACACCTAGAAGAAAACACCTAGAAGAAAACACCTAGAAAGTTGGTTACTGTTACTTTGTTAATTTGCATATTGTCAATAACAAGTTGAGGCATGTTAATTGGCAGTTTATATTATTAGATAAGAGGATGGAAAAGAATCCATTTAGTTTTATTAATGTTAAAAGATAATTTGTTAGTTTTAAACCAGTCAGATATTTTGATTAACTCGATGCTCAAATAATATTTTAACTTTTTAGCAAAAATTTTATGACCAATTGTATCAAAGGCTTTTGATACAATTGATTATAAAATATTCCCTATGTAAATTTAGAATTGTTAAATGAGTCTGATATACTTCTTGTACGCTGAATAATAGCATGCTCTGTTAAATTATTTTTTTTGATCCATATTGCGTGTTATATGATAATTTGTTTGCTAAAAGGTGGTTGTATATACTGTTGTATAAAATTTTTTCTAAAATTTTAGAAAAAACAGAGAGGATAGAAATTGGATGATAGTGTTTTATATTAGTTTTTTCTCCTTTTTTAAATATAGGAATAATTTTTGCAATTTTTAATCATCAAGAAAAACTCCCTGTTTAACGGAGTATTTAAAAATTTGGAAAAGTATGTCTTTTAAAACGCCGAAACAGCTTATAATAATGTTCCCGTTGACATTATCACGACCAACAGCTTTATTTATCTTTAACAACTTAAAAGCACTTTCAAATTCTTCAAAAGACAAATCAAAAATAATCTAGATACGAGTTTAGAGGGTCAATTGCTGAGATTACGACATTTTAGTGTTACCAGTGATTTTGTTTATTAAATGCCAAGTGCGTTTTGAGTTTAATTTGCATTTTTCAAGTAAATCAGTGTAGTATTTTTTTTTTTTAAAAAAATCTTATTTTAGGCGTTTCAATAATCTCACGTAACTTTTATATTTATAGATGGTCGTACTCTCTAAGCTGTTTTTGATTTTAGATATTTAATTTTTTCTTTAATTTTAGAAGATTTTAGAATGCCCTAAGTAATCCATGGCGATTTAATTTTTTATGTTTGTAATTTACATCTACTTTGGGAAAACTGATGTCATAAATTAATTAAAAAAAAAAGATTTATATATTAAAATAATGTCTTCAGAAAAATTAATAATTTCCCAATTAATTAAAGATAGTTGATATTTAAAAGATTCTAGGTTTTCATTATAAAAAATTCGTGTTTTAAATGATTTTTTCTCATTATTATAAAATTTTCGCATAAATATCCATTGAAAAGAAAATAGGGATATGATCAGATATGTCACTTTTAATGATGTCTTTTTAATCGAATTATTAAAAATATCGTAGGCTATGTTATCAATTAAGAAAGTTTGTTGTTTGAGTAATTCTAGTTGGTTTGTTTATAAGAGAAACTGCTCCATTTTCAAATAGGCCATTATATGATGAATCAAAGCAATTTAAATTCAGATCACCTAATATGTAAAGTAATTTCTTTTCGAAGTTGCTTTTATTTATAACATGTAGTGATGTATTAATAACAACAGCTAATCACAATGTTTTTAGTTTTATTGATAACTATTTCAATCGTTAAAACCTCTTTATTGACGTGAGAAATACTCTTGTCATGCCTAATATAATACCGTAGGTTTTCTTTAACATAAATAATTAAACCACACCCGCGTTTATTTGTTTTCCGCCTTAATGAAATCAAACTATAGTCGGTTATTAAAAAATTATTATCTAAATTTGAGTCATCATAACTACACCAAGTTTCAGTTAGGCATATTACACTAAAAATAGTTAGACTTTCCTCAAAACTATCGCAAAGTTTTTCAAAATTTTTTTTAAACTTCTTATATTTATATGAATTGCATTAAATTTATAACGCTCAAGAAACTCTTTTATTTCAAAATAATAAAATAACTGCAGCTATGTAAAGGATCTGTTTCACTAAAATAAATTTGATCCGGATCTGACACTTTGTTAAGTATAAAATCATTGAATTGAAAAATATCACAATTCTTAGAGTGTTTTGAATCCATTTTAGAATTTAAAAACAATAAAAGTTAAAAAAATAATAAAGATGAAATAATAACTCTAAGATAAAATAATTTTATCTTAGAGTTATATCTTAAAATTATTATTTAACGCGTTACGAGTCGCGTGTTACGAGTTTATTATATACCACTTTAGCATATTTACTACCCAGTGGGCACGGACGTAAAAAAGATATCTTTTAAACGTCTTATACACGTTTTGGACATCTTTTGAATGTTTTGGACGTCTTTTGAACATTCAAAAGACGTCTTTTTTTGGTCCGGTACCCACTGGGTAGTACGGGTCAAACCATACTTTTTTTTAAATTTTGACAAGCAGCACTATGTGGAGTTTTTGAATCGGTATAATAAACTATGTAGACTGAATTTTTTTTACAAACACACCTTGGTGTTGCACCGTACACCTAATTTTTCCACAAAAAAAAATTTTGTAAAAAAAAAAAATTTTTTTGTTTTGTTCTGGAGTATACAATCTTTTAATAAAAGAACTTTAAGCAAAAAAAAATCAATTTCAGAATTATTAACTTCATGCCTTAAATAAAGTTTCAAAGTATGATATTATGTCAGCATAAAATTTTTGCCATGCTACTATGTAATTTTTAGTTTATTCTATTTGTTGCATTTTAATCTCTATACATTGTATATTTAGTGTTTGTGTATATGTTTGTTTGCTTTTTTTTTTAGTAATTAAAAATAAAATATAACTAAAAATAAGCAACACATTGTATCATTGCAACATTTCATACTCACAGTAAAACTGACAACTTAATATTTAGACAAGGTTCTAAACGTCCAACTGCAATGATTCCTACAAAAAGAGGTGTTGTGAAATATTGCTATTATGTTCGCAAAAATGAAGATGCTAAAGGCAAAGGATCAAATTCTGCTCATAAATGTTACAGATTAGTTACCACAAGTTTTGAAGCAAAACTCGTATTTTTCTAACCCAGAGAATATTTTATTGGAGATGATAAGTAACGAAAGAAAACTACATGAAAGTTAGAACTACAGCCGTCTAAAGGATACTTAAATCCAGGAACACTAGCAAATCCAATAGACATTTTAAACTTCCTACAACATTACATCTTGGAGCCAAAGATTATTGGGAATTAATAAATTGGGACATCGAAAAAGTTCATTCGCCACCTTTACTGAATGATTATTCAAGCGAAGATATTATGAAAGCCAATGACAGTCCATTAAATATTCCAAAGTATTCTTGTCATAGTCAGAATATGGAAAAAATAGTTGGAGTAGTCATAAAGGCATCAGAAAATAGATATGGCTATGAAAAACGTCACAAATTTGTAATAAACCTGTTGGAGTCCAGGGAAAAATGCCTAAATTTGATTGGAAAACGCATTGGAAATAAGACATTTCTAAAAATATACATTTTTTTATAGTCTATAAAAACTTTTCATTTTTTTTTTTTTAATTATTTCTAAAAGTTTTGTTTCTTTGCTTAAAAAAGGTAATATATGAACAGAAAGCATTTTAAAACTTACGTCCCTTATTTAACACCTTGTATCCCTTATTCAATTAAAATACCTAAACAGTATTTTAGTAGAACATTTTTGTGGTATATCTAAATCATTAAAATTATATAAAATAAAACAATCATTAAATAATTATATATAAAAGTTGCTTATACCCTTTTTTCTCTAAAATGCCAAAAAATCTGATTTTGTGTGCAACCCCTGCGGAGGCTAGTACAGATCTCAAATTTAGTATACATCCTACACACATATATAGGAACCCCGCACAATATGCTGCTTCTTAAAATTTTTTTAACCCATCCTAATATTTACCTTTGGCTCTCAAATATTTTACTTCTTTCAATAAATGCTTTTGCAATCAATATTAATAACTGTAACAATAACTTTACAATTTCAAAAACTGTAACAATAACTGTAACAATAACAATAACTTTCAATAACTTGCAATCAATTTCAATAATAATTTTGCAATCAATTTCAATAACTGCTTTTGCTTTCGCAACAAATGCTTCTTTCAATAACTGTTTTCACAATTCCAAAGTTCTTTCGCTGTAGTCTTCGTTTACGTAAAATCGATCGTTCCACAATTTTAGCTAAACATAGTTATCCAACGCAGTTTTTTTGTCTTTGTGGTTTAAAAATTCTACTATTATGTACTTTTTTCCATCGCTATTTTTTTTTCCCGTCCTGTGCGCGCGTTTAATTTCAACATTACCTTTAAAATCAAGTTTTGACTTTAAAACATTTTGAATCTTTTCCTCGCTCAGTTCCCACGTTTTATTTTTGTCTTCTTCAATTCCCGTAAATCTTAGGTTATTTCTTCTGCTCCTGCTTTCCAACTCAACTAGTTTGTCTTTGACAACAACGTTTGTTATATCATTTTGGTTTGATGTTGAGTTTGGCTTTTTTATTATTTCAGAAAGTTCTTGAACAATTGATTCCTATTTTTTGCTAAGAAACTCCGCCGATTTCTTTAGTTCACTAGTTTCTTTTTTATTTTTTTTATTTTCTTCTTTAATAGCTTAGTTTCCATTTTATCAAACTTCTCGTTAAATATAAATGATAAAGTATTCTCATAATTATCTAATAAGTATTTAATTTGAAAAACGGCCATTTTTAATTTATGAATGGAATGAAACTTCTTAAAGTGATTTAAGAATGTTTGTAGAAATAATATCAAGTGGCGATGTCTTGGGCTTAAGAGTTTTGATTATTTGCAACACATCTGTAGGAGTGACTGTACAAAACATAGTAAAAATATCTGCAGGGAGAGATTGCTTTAAAATGAATCCAGATATTGGGATAGTCTAAATGCCTCCCAGCATGCAGTTCGATACAGTTTTTTAGCTAATAAATTGCCAGTTTTTCTTTTACGACGCTTTAGTTTACGAAGTGTCCTTTTTTCTACCTTTGTATTTAAAGATAACCATTTATTATTATGCTTACTAAATCTGATTTTATAAATTTTTGAGTGGGTGCCAAATTATCAAAAACGATTGTTATAATTGTATCCATATTTATTTTTTCTGCATAATCGTACTCGTTATTTTTTAGGTAATAAACAGCATGACATCATTTTATTTTTTCTATAAAACATGATAAGTTTAGTTTTTTTAATTTTTTTTTCGAAAACCAAAAAGTTTTAATTTTTGAAGGATGATGTTGAAGTGATAACCATGTAGTGATCCTAAATTCCTTCGTCTGTTGCATAAAAATTGCTGAGTAAAATTTCATCATTACTGTTTATTAATAAATTAATCAATAACGGTAATTGATGATAAGCGAGTTCGAGATTAAACTCTTTGTATCATCTAATAGGTCTCTAGAGTATTAAACTGATAGTTATTAGAGTAGAAGCTGCGCATTACACGAAAGCATTTCTCAGGACAATGTTTGAAGTTCTTGTAGCACTTCAAAGAATTTGCAAAAAATTGCTAATCTGAATGGTTAGATATGATCGATAAATAATAAAGTAAATAGTATTTGCTAAATTCAGTCTAGCAGATGTATGTTTATAGGACAGGTAGATAGTTGATAATGGCAGGGGTTTAATATTTAAATTGTCTAGGTATGTTATTACAACGTCTACCCCATAATGGCCAGGTCAGCTGTATTGAATTGTTTTGAAATCTAGTAGCGCCATATCTCTTGTATAGCAGCATGATTATCTGGCTTTATCAAAATTTCAGTCAGCATAAAAATATCTAACGATTGGTTTTAATCTAATAAATACTTAATATCATGAATAATAGTAAATAAAAAAACAAACTTTTTTATAACTAATTGAGCATTTTAAATATCCAAGTTTAGAGAATATAGTACGGAAAGTACTGGAAAGGTTCTTTTAATTTTTTTAATGTAATTTATGCAAGTTTGATATTGATCAATAAAAATTCCTTTGCTCGTATACCCCAATATTATTGTTTATATTGTACTGTTGGCTCTCATTTTTTTTCTAAATCTCGTGAGTAAGTGCTGCATTTCTAGTGTTTTGAATTATTCTGAGTTTACTGTCAAGCAATCTCTTGTTTTCAGTTTTGCCTTAATTAATAAAAATATTTTTGTAGTTGATATTAGCCTTTAACTTTTTGAAATTCATTATCATAAATCTGTCTGTTTCTTTGTTTTTTAATTCAACAAGATGAGATCAGGTAGTCTTTCTAGCTTTTTGGTGGTTTTTGTTAGTAATGTTATTCTTTATAAATAAGTCAAGCTTTAATTCTTTTAGTATTGCTTTAATGGTTATTTTATTTTTATTTTTTTGCTTGTTTATTTTTTTGTAAATATTGGTTTTATCAGTAACTCTACTTATAATAATGTCGTTTTCAATTTATTTATTATTAAATAATTTAATTACTTTCGCCATTATTACAACTTTAGTTTCTTTTGGTTTTGTTATATTTTTCTCAACTGATGTGAACGCTTATTTTTTGAACGTTTATGGGTATGAGAATATGGTTATTGATTTTTTGCTGCTGCTGTTTTGTAGCATTTGTTTTTTCATCTTCAAAATTTTAACCAGTTGAAAAAAGATTAGAAACAAATAATAATATTTTGCCACAGCACTTGTGCATGTTTTTGATAACCTCAATAGATGCACTTTCATTTGTAGGGGGATTTAGCTCTTCTAAGCATTTATATTCAAACTCCATTTAGTTTGAAAGGGTTACCACTCTGTATACCAGTGGATTTCTTGATGTTATCTGTAACAGGGCTACAGTGGATCACCTCCATACTATATGTATTATTTTTATTAACACAAATAGAACAAAGCTTAGATGTATTATATGATTTTTTCGTCGCATACTACGCATACAAGAAAAATTTGAAATAATTAAATATGCAAATCAAAAATGTTTATTTAGCAAAAAATTGGAAATGATTTCTAAATGCAATCACGAAAATAGGTTTCTCCTAAATAACGATAAAAATAAGTGTGCTCAAATAATAATTAAAAAATTAACTTAAAACATTAACCTAAAAAAATTTGTGAATTGTGACTGAAGTCAGAAAAACAATCCTAATATATATCCAATATATATATATATATATATATATATATATATATATATATATATATATATATATATATATATATATATATATATATATATATATATATATATATATATATATATATATATATATATAGAGAGAGAGAGAGAGAGAGAGAGAGAGAGAGAGAGATTTAAATTGTTAGTAAAGCTCTGCTTGTATTGTAGTTTTATGAACATCCATGGCTGTACAGTACAGTATTTTTGATACATCAAGCTATGCCTAAAATGCATTAACTGTGTAAAGTGTGATTAAACGAGATATTTTTAACTAGGATTTTGTAACGAGAAACTTAAATAAAGAGCAAAATTGAATGTTTTAGAGGGTGCAAGACTGGTGCCCTCTAAAACATTCAATTTTTCATCCAACTAGTACACCAGTTGACTTTTCTAAGAAACGCGAGGGGGGCAGCTTACCCCTTTTTGTGAGGTCATATCTCACAATAATTATTTCCTATTTTCACAACAAAAAACACTTGTGACTTCAATCCTAACTTCATTAAAATATTGAAAAAAAAATTTAAAACACTTGAATTTTCAAAATGAACGAGTTTGTCTTGTTTGCTCAAAAATTTAATTTTGTAAACAAACTTTTTATTTTAAAAATAAGCTTTTAATATTAAGAACGCATTTTAAATATAAAAGCTTTGGCGATAATGACAGTGCCATTACATTCCTCTCCCTATTTATTATTATATAAATTTTCGAAGCGTTAAAAGTAATTAAAATATAAAAACAATCAACAAAGTTAAATCGTTTATAATTCCTTTAAAATTGTTTTGTAGTCGCTTACCTTTTGTAGCCAATAAGTTTTCCTTAATACTATATAGGTTGTAATTTTATTTTATATCATAACATCATGGCTAGTCAATATTCAAAAATGGATGTGAAAAAAGAAGAGTATATTGCAGTTTCTGGTGCTAATTATGGTCAAGAAAAACATGCTGGGGGTATTATAGCATCTCAACCACAAGCAGTATCTGGTGTTGAAAATTATATACTTGATCTTGACGCTGCTCAAGTTTCTGGTAAAAAATTTAGTTTAGAGAGTTAATTTATTATTTAAAAAGAATGCATATCAAGTAAAAAAAGTACGGAATATTGTATGAAAATTAAATACGACGTTTTGCTATAGATTGCACAAAATAAACAAATTTTATTTGTGTCGTTGGTAATGTTTTGTTTTATGGTAATGTTATTTTGTTTATGTTTATATTTTGTCTGAAAAAAGTAGCTCTAAATAATATTCAGCAAATGTCTTAAAATAGTACATTCTATTGAACAGTCTTACACTCCTTTATCATCTAAACTTTGATTGTTGGCCCTTGTATTGTTGTATTTAAAATGTGGAAGGCTTTGCACAATATTCAGAATATTATCTTTACAATACAATTGTACATTTAGGTAAAATTTTAAATGTTTGGTAGAAAAGTTGGATGGTAAAAATTTATAAATGAAAAGGAGATGCACTAAAATGTGACTCATTAAAAATAGAATTGCTTGAGAATTGCAAAGAGTTTACAAAGAATTATTGCTAACAAAAAAAGAAGCAATTTTATCAATATCCTAAAGTTTTGGTTTTAGGCCAGGAAAGCAACAGTTGTGATATTAGTTGTAAAAGAAGTGCGCAAAAGTTAACGAGAAAATTTTTTTTTAGACTATCAAACTTTTACTGATTTAATTATGTTTACTATTCAGTTTTATTTTAAGTTGGAATTTTATTTATGCATTTAGCATGAAAACTAAATAAACTAAGAATAATATTTTGTTAAAAATAAAATATAATAAGATTATACTTGATGAATACTTTGGAATAAATAAATGTGTTTAGAAAAAAAAAAAAAACTGATGTAAGATAGCATTAAATGTTGTCTGGAGTATTTATATTTAGATTAAACATTCAAATCACTCCTATCTAAACAATTTGGCTCAACTAAATCTTGTATTCTATCCTGGTGGAAGCATCTGTAGTTCTAATTTTAAAAAATATCTGAAGATTGCTTTGATATCTCTAACTGCTGCCCAATCTTCTTACTATTATTAGCAAAGTCTTCGCTAATAATATCTAATTAACAAATTTTTAATATCTCATCTTGAGTCTAACACATTTTTATAGTATGTTTTTTTTTGATAGAAAATGTTTTTGATAAAACTAAAGCTATGAAAAAATTATTTGATTTTTCAATTTTTTTTAACTAGTTATTAGTGATGTACTGATTAATTGGCATCAACTAAACTTGCCATTTTTTGCACAATCGGAATCAGTATGGGCATTGGTCTTTTTTGATCAATTTACCAATTTTCCAATAGATAACATTTAATATTTTTGTCCTGCATTATGATAATAATTTAAGTAATAAATAAACTCAACTTTAGGCATTACTTGGAATTTTTTTGAGAAATTGTTTATTTTGACTTTGTTTAAAGTTTGTTTATTTTTAAGATGATGTTTATAAGCATTAATTTAACAGCTGAATGTACTTTTACTTTTATTACCATAATGTTGTTTTTAGAGTTATTTTATTTTGTGTTGTTTTATTGTTATACTTAAAAGTAACCTATTTAAGTATTGTTATCTATGTGCTCAAGTATAGCCTTCTATATTTCTATTTGAATGTTGTTTAGATATCTAAATTACTAATAAATTAATAAAGAGTTCTAAGTAAACTGCTTATCTTTTTAAAGTTAAAATTTTCTTTTTAAAGTTAAAATGAAAATTTTAACTTTAAAAAGTTAAATTTTTTTTTAAGACAAAATGAACAATGGCTTCTTGCTTTTCTCAATTGGGTATTCAAGGGATCAAGATTTATATATATATATATATATATATATATATATATATATATATATATATATATATATATATATATATATATATATATATATATATATATATATATATTTATTTATATATATATATATATATATATATATATATATATATATATATATATATGTATATATATATATATAAATATACATATAAATAAATAAATAAATAAATAAATATATATATATATATATATATATATATATATATATATATATATATATATATATATATATATATATATATATATATATATATATAAATCCATTTAAGTATAGGATATATTTAAGTATAACAAATGTTTTATAATTAGAATAAATTGATCAAGATTTCTGTATTTTTTTAGTATAAACTGTTCTTGATAATTACTAGGATGGAGTGTCCAGGATGTCTGCAATTTATTTGTTGAAAAAGTTGGATGTGGGTATTTGAATGAACTATTTATTGCTAACAAGATAAATGGGAAATGCTTGATGCTTTTGCAAGAGGTTATTAAATTTTATTGTTATGTTTATTTTCAAGTTTGTTTTTCCGTATATATTTTGGGTAGGTGAGGCTTCTCAGCAGCAATAAAGAGAACTTATCTAAAAGAAGAAAAAACTCAAATAAAATCTCAGCTTTGTAGGTAGAAGGAGCTTTGATGGTATCTTATTCCAGATATATTTCAAAATTTCAGACATTTCTTAAAATTTTTATATTTTCCATATATTTTATATATCCATTATATATCCATATTATTATAAATATTGTTTTCTCAAAAAAAATTTGAAACATTTTTTTTGTTATCAAATAATTAAAACATTGAAGGTATCCTAAATTTCTCTATGCTATATTTAGTTAAGACATTATTCATATATACGTGTACAACTAATTTTTTCCTTATTTGTACAGGTATATTTATTAATAATTGTTATGACTATTTGACTTAAAATTCTAGCCTAATTTGATTTAATAATTTTTTTATATAAATTTTATTAATTTAAAACTCTACTTTGTGAGAAAAAATAAAAAAAAAAAGGTTCTCTATGGAGGATTTAAATCCACATATCCACAGCGCTACACTGTTTTCTTTTACTAATTTGAAAAATTGAATATTTTAACATTTTTTCACGTGCAAATAATGTCAATATTATGTGCATAATATTCATATTATGTGCACATTAATGTAATAATTTTTACGTACAAATAATAAATTTTTTTGAAACCCATGAAAAAAGTCTTAATTACACAAAATGCATTTTCATTTCAAGTTTTTCTGGAATTTTCTTAAAATATTTTCTAAATTTGTTCTGGATATTTTTATGAAATAACTGTCTGGATTTATAAAAAATAGTTATGCATTAAATAAACTAAACTATATATAATATATAAAATCTTTACAAAAAATTGCTTTCAGACTTTACATTATAATAAGTTTAAACAATACAAACTATATAATTATCAGGATTTTCAAAGTAGAAAGTATAATATTGTATATTTTAATAGTTCATTAATCAATTTGTATCTATTTTATTTTATTCTCAGTTTTTTTCCATTAGCAATGTGCAATAACTATTGTGCAATCACTAATGTGTAATCAATAACGTGCAATCACTAAGTTTTCCAACCTGCAAAGATTGCAAATTATATGAATCAGGTAAACAAGATGAAATTCCAAAGAACTGATATTTAAGGAAAAAAACTAGAGAAATTTTTGGATTACTTAGAAACAGTCACATTAAAAGGATTAGACTTAATTAAATGAGGAGTAACACAAGAATAAATTTTAATAAATGGAACAAGAGGTACTACCTCTTTAGAGTAGCGCCTGTTATAGTATTTTTAGAAAAGAGAAAGAGAAGCAACATTACGACGATGCGATAATGGTTGAAGGTTGGCTCCAAGAGCAGGTCCAACTATGTTTACAATGTATTTTTGCACATTGTCTAAAAGAAAAAAAGCACAGTATTCCATGCAAGGACAGATTTGAGATTTATAGAAGTAAAGAGTAGAATCAGGATTAAGAAGGTTAACAAGTGCTTATCAGAGTCTTTTGAAAATAGGGATGGCATATACAATCCCTAATTTTTTTAAATTAAGAGAACCATCTGACTTGACTAACTACTGTCCCATTACTACCCTAAGCAAGGTTTTTGAGATTTTAATTAACAAATGCTTAATCTCTTATCTTGAATCTAATAAATTACTTTCTAATCATCAATATAGATTTTGATCTTCTCATTCTACTGCTGATTTGTTAACAGTAATAACTAATAAATTTCATTGTGCATTATTATCTATCTCTCTCAACATTTCTAAAACTTTTGATAAAGTGTATCAGGTAACATCTTTAAGACTATTAAAATCCTCCTTACCAATCATAGTATAAAAGTTGTCTTCGATGGACAGCACTCTTTTTCATTTCCTGTAACTTCAGGGGTTCTTCAAGTTTCTATCCTTGACCCTATAATTTTTTAAATTCATATTAACAAACTCCCAGAATTTTTCACATCTAAGATGGCATTGTTTGCTGATGATATTACCATTTATTACCACTCTCCAAGCCTTCCCAGGAAAAGCGTGCGGTTTTTCGTCTTGTACGACCACGAAAACATTTTTTAATTTAGACAACTTGATCATGGCCGTATGCGCAAGTTTTATTATATGCGTTGCTGAAAAAAGTTTTGAATTTAATAACTACATAAGAAATTAAAGAAAATTTAAATAGAAAACAATGATAATAGTTTAAAATATTTGTGTGTTGTTTTTACTTTTGTTTTTTCTTAGTGGTAATTATTATCAGCAACAAAATTCAGTAAGTCCAAGCAAAAAAAAAAAAAAATTTTAAGCGTTAAAAAGGATAACTTTCCCATATTTTATGTGTTTTTTCTCTTAAAGAGGAAAGAGAAAATATGTATCGTTATCTGTTTGTAAAATATATTTGTATAATTATAATCTAACAACTTTATATCAAGGTTTAAATTATACGATCGGCATTTGCAAACTCTGGTAAAATATTAGGTCTTTAAAGTTTTAGTTCAAGCAAAGCTGTGTACTTTGTTTATAAAGAGCAAATTATCAAAAGTTTGCTAGCGAAAACAATAACTTACGACTACAAAAGTAATAACACTTTAGTCACTAACTGCATTATAAAAGTAATAAAACTATAATAGTGTTATTACATTTATAAAGCACTTATTACTTTTAAAGTTCATTCTTTGTTCAAACAATATTATTAATTCCAAACATTTATTAAAGTAGAAAAGCATCTAGAAAAAATAAAGCGGATATCCAAATATTAATAGAAATTTCAGGAACTTTCACAGATCACTTAAATAACGTTATAAAAAAGGACTTTATAAAAAGTATAGCATTATGAAAAATGTTACATAAAAATGCGCATTAATTTTAAATCTAACAATAAAAATTTTTTATTGGTTAATTTTAAAATTAATGCGCGTTTTTATGGTCCATTAGTAATGTTTTTCATAATACTAAACTTTTAATACAATAAGTTTTTATAAAGTTGTTTGTCACGTTTTTATAAGTTATTTAAGTTTTAAATATTATTTGAACATCCACTTTATTCTTCTAGATATTTTTCTACTTCAATTAAAATTTGCAATTGCTTATGTTGCTTGAACAAAGAATGAAATTTAAAAGTTATAAGTGTGTTATAAAAATAATAACACCATTATAGTGTTATTACTTTTGTAATCGTAAGTTTATTGTTTTATTTTTTTATTTTTTTGCTTACAAATTTAAGTTGATTTTCCCCTTAAAAACAAGGAACAAGGTTTTGTTTAAACTAAAATTTTGAATACTAGATATTTTTCCAGATATTGCGTTTCGCGTTTGCTTAATTCAACCCTTGTTATTACATTAAAATTATACAAATAAATTTTATAAACACATTGCAATTTGTATTTTTGCTATCCTCTTAAAAAAAAGTTAAGAAAATCATTCTTTTTATTGTAGACTTCAAATTGTTTTTTTTATACTTCGCATTATCTAATTTTTTTTTTTTTTTTTTTTTTTTTATTTTACTTCACCTCCTGTTGCTGAATGTAACAACCACTCTAAAGAAACAAAAATAAAAACAGTACACACACTATTTAAATTATTAAATTTATAAATATTTAAATTTGTTTTTATTCTTTTTTTATTTCAATCTCTTTATTTTGTTGGTTTTGTTTTTTTTATTTTTGAGCATTGATTATTATAAAACTTGCAAACGGCCGTGTTCAAGTTGTCTCAAATAATATACTCACGTGTGGTCATACAAGACAAAAAACCGCACCCCTTTCCTGGGAAGGCTTGCTCTCTGATTGCTTGAAGGGGGCATTGAAACTTAAAAAGGATCTCACTTAGGCTACAGCATGATGCTTACAGTAACTGGTGAACTTTAACTCAGAAATTTTTCAGCTAATAGTTATCGCAACAGTCTAGATCTTTCTATATTTAAAAAAGTTAATATATTCCATGAGTCATCTACCCTTCATTTTCTAGGATTAACTCTTACTTATGATTTTTCTTGGAAACCATAAACCAAATCCGTTGCAAAATTAGAATCTGCTAAGGTTACATCTCATTATCGTGCTCGCCACCTTCTTAACAGGTTGATCCATTGTGCTACTGAATGTAGCACAATGTAGATCAACCTGTTTGACAAACTTTATCAGGTAGGATGTGATTAGTGGAATCAAGAGATGAGATTGATGAAAAGTTTTTAGCAAACAATTCAGCATTGTCTTTAGGTGAAGTAACATAATCTGAACCATGCAAGAGAGGAGGATTTACAGACCCTTATTATAGACACTTAAAGATTCTCTAGAGTTCTCTGGATTTTTTAAGATATGATCTGAGGTTTTCTGATCTGAGAATAGCAGGTTTTAGTGTTAGAGAAAACCGTTTTCCAATGGTTTTTTGCAATAGTAAACAGTCAACTGTTTTCTGGAGAATTATTCATAGATATGAAAGTAATGATCACGATTAAAAATTGATATTACTATTAATAGTTAATTTATATAGAAATTTATATAAAAAATTATGCAATTAAAATTATAAAAATATTTAAAAAATAATTTTTTAAAACATTTTATTACAAAATATTAAAAAAAAAACTTTTTTTTTTGAAACTAAATAGTTATTTGGTTTAAAATTTCTATTAAAGTTAATAAATAAAAAATACAACATAAAAATACAACATAAAAGTTAACTGCTATTATACCTCTTTTAGAGATATAGTAATAAAAATGGCTTCAGAATAAAAATGTATTGTATACAATCTTTGAAATTGGGTCAAATCTTTCTAGACAATTTACAAACAATGTGTGATCCTTAAGGTCAAAGTACCATCACAAAATGTGTTACAATCTTTGATGGAGGAAATCAATGAACAAAACTTGTCATTAACACTTTTTCTTTGTATTTTCAATATCTTAATGCAGCATTATTAATGAAAACACTTTAATATTGCATTTTGTCCAATCTTTTACCTCATTCAAAATGTTTTCAAAAATCCAAAAACTTATCTCACCATATCTCCCATATTTTGCTTATTTAATCTCACTTATAGTTTTGTAAATTTTTAGTTTCACAATAATTTGCAAGATTTACCCCCACCCCCTCAACACATTTATGTTAATAATAACTTTTTTAGATAAAGAATAATTTCTCTATTATTGATTCTAATTTTTAGACACATTTAAAAGAGATGGGTGTTCAAGCTATTGGGGATCGGGTTTACATGCTTGAAATGATTAGCTTTTTGAAAAAGAAGAGAAAAGAAATGCAAACCACTGCTGCATTATGGAGTGGTGAAACTCCTGCACCTGGATTTCGTAAGTCAAATTTCATTTGTAAAAAATAGAAATTCATCATCATCATCATCATCATCATCATCATCATCATCATCATCATCATCATCATCATCATCATCATCATCATCATCATTTTTATTATAAAATATTTCTTTTTTTTGAAGGTCTTAATTAACTTTTCAAGGCTTCTGGCAACTTTTTTATCGTTCTTTAACAGTATTATTTGTTTTCTAGTAATTAATTGTAATTTGTACACTCAACTTAATTATATTGAAAGGAATAAAAGTGAAAACAACGAAAATATTATAGATAAAAATTAAGAAAAACATTTAGTAAACAGAAGAACTAAACAAAAATTTAAAAGAATAAAAATGTTTGTGATAAATTCGAAAATAAAAAACTTTAATAAGTTATTAAAAGAAAACAAATATAACATTTTTTAATATTTTACATTTTTTATGTTGTTTGGATTGTTTATACTATTGTGTATTATTCTGTGTTTTTTATTTATATATTTATATATATTTTTATATTGTCGTGTATTTCTATGTTTTGTTTATACTATTGTGTAATTTTATGTATCGTTTATATTGATGTGTACATTTTTGTATTGTTTATGTAGGCGTGTATTTTTTTTGTAGTCTTAATGCTAATTATTTTTATTGTTGCTGCTATTTATGTTTTTTGCTTTTATTCAAATTATTTCTTATTTTTTGTCTCATATTATTTAAAAATATCTTTTTGTTTCTTTTTTATTTTCTATCATCCTTCTAATTGTCAAACATTGCGTTATCTTATTCATTCGTTATCTCTCATCAGTTTATTTACTTTTCCCTTTTTTTGTGTTATTTGTTTTGCTTTTTAAAATATTATTGTTCTTCTTTTTATTTTTTTTTAAATTTTATTTTGATCGCTATCTATATTACTTTTTTTTGCTTTATTTGTTTATTTTGTTAATGTGTCACATCAATGATTAGTTATTAACTTTACGAGTGACACAGAACCTAATTTTGTAAAATTATAAATAAATTTGTATTTTTTTAAATTTTATGGTTGAATAATTGGATGAAATAGTGGTTACAGATTTGTTGGAATTAAATTAGTACAAAACAAAAACAAAACAAAACAAAACAAAAAACTTATTTTATAGTTGTACCGATTTAGTGGAACAATTTTTTTATTTGTGATTTTATTTTATGTGATATAACAAAATGCTTTCTTTATATATACTAGCTTTTTTAAAAATGATTTTATATAAAAAATAATTTAATATAAAAAAGCAAAACTATATTCGTTTATATTTTCATGTTTCATTGTACTTTTCAATATAACTTGGGCATGTTTAGCTCGGCTCAAAAGGTTCAAAATTTTGAGGTTTTTTCTGTTTTTTGATACAATTGTGACTATTCCTACAATTTTTAAAATATTTTTATTATGTCAAAACTATATTAGTATATTCAAAGGACTGTCATTCACTATTCAAATATCTTCATTTGAACATTTGTTCTTTAAGTATGGTAAATTAACTTCCTTAATATCTCTATCAGTTTTTCTCCAAGTTTAGTTTTTAAAAAAGTTCAAAAGATTGTGTTGGTATTTCTGGGTTTGAGTTTTGAATGTTCGTTAATCTTAGTTTCTGTTATTATTTGTTTTTGCCAATAAAGTATTTTGTGGCTTAACAAAATTTTTTTTCCATTACCTCCTAATATATTGTATCAATAACTGCATTTCTAATTATTTGAGCAAAATATATTTTGTGAAGTTCCTTTGATTTTTTTGAAAGGAACTTTTTGCTAAATTAGTAAAGTCTTTTGATATATTTCTCTTTTAAATAATGTATGATCAGAAGTTTTTCTATCAATTAACTTAAATATGTATTATATATAAATACTACATATTTACAGGCTTAGACAGGAATGGCGTGCGATCGAGCGCTATTGTTGACCACGCAAATGGTTTTACTTTTTGATAACTTGACCACGCTAAGCTAAACTTAAACTAGAAAAAAAAGTTAAAAAAAAACTATTAAAAAAAAAATTCCTAACAAATTCTTAAAGAAATTATATAAGCACTAAAATAAAAAAATAATTGGACTATAATAATTGGATTGAAAAGAAATTATATAAGCACTAAAATAAAAAAAATAATTAATTCAAATAAATGTTATTAAAACTTATTTTTTTTAAGCGTTTTATTAATGCTATGCAAAACGCTTTTAAATTAAGTAATAAATTACTTCTAATGATTGTTTAGTAAATGATCAAATTTTATCAAGTTTATTAAAAAATGTTGTATATAATGTTGTATGTAATTTTTAATAATTTCAAGCTTTAATTAGTAAGTTTAGTTAAAAAAAAAGGTTTAAACTTTTTTTATAAGGGAAAAAATAAATAACAAAATGCGCCTGCGATTTAAATAAAATAAACCACCAACAAGCAGTTTAATTTGAGCATTACAACTTTATTAATAAGCACTTCACGTAACAAATTTAAAATTTATTATAAAAAAATTAATCTCATTCATTCCTATCGTAATTAAAAAAAAAAACTTTCAAAAAATATAATTTTTTTTAAAAAGATTTTTATTAATATTTTTTATTAATATTAAATTTTTAGTTTAACAAAAAATTGTTAAACAAATTTTGTTTAACAAAATTTTTTGTTAAACAAAATTTTTTGTTTTTTTATTAATTAAAATTTTGTTAATTAAAATTTTATTAATAAAAATTTTGTCTTTTATTAATTAGCAGTTTATGTAAACAATCATTATAATTAATTTTATGGTTTTATTTAAAAGCCTCGCGTAAAATAAAACCATAAAAAACTTTAGAAAAGACTAACGATTAAAAGGTATTCATAACGTAACACTTTCTTTTATTGCATTTAAATTGTTAAAACATCAAAATTGCCGTGGTCAAATTGTAAAGAAAAAGCAATATTAGCGTGGTCAGTTAAAGAGTGGGATCGCACGCCATTCCTGTCCAAGCCTGTATTTATATATAATGCATATTTAAATGGTTCTTTCAACTGAATTGATCTATCACGTTTAGTTTCTAGTTATTTTATCCTCTAAATTTACAAGTATTTACTATAATTGAAACGCATAGGTGTGGATTTAATTTACTTCTGCTACAAGCCTCAAGTTTTATATAGAAAATTTTATTACCTGCACAACAAGAAGTTCTGTAGTTAGAAATTAATCTAAATTCTGCCTGATTCTCTAGCTCTTGTAATACCTTGTAATAGCAGTTTATTCTTTAATTATCTCTGCAGTTGTTGTTTTAATTATTTTTTACTAAAATTGATATTTTACAATTTTTTGTCCTTGATTAAATTTGTGTAACAAATTTCTCTTTCTAATTTTTTTCTTATCAAGACTGTTTGATTTATTTTGATTATCTATGGCATTTCAATTAGTATTTGGTTCATTTTGATTACCTATGGCATTTAGAGTAGTATTTGATTCATTTTGACTACCTATGGCATTTGTAGCAGTATTGGCAATGAAAGCAGTTGCACTGCAACTAACGCAGTAACAATCTCCTGTGGTTGTTAGTTTATGAAAAAGAAACTTTACAATGAACTTTCGACTAGATTTTTATAAAAATGATCACATTTGTATTATTTAATCCTTTAATGCATTATTTATACAATCTAATAATTTCTAACATTGATATGGTTCTTTTTTTTTAATTTTATTTAACTTATTATTGCTTGAAATAAGCAATTTAGTTCTAAGGCATTTTCAAAAACATTTTTTTCCAAATCTTTTTATTTGATTTATATTAAAATATTGTTGTGGAACAAATAATTGTGGTGTAAATTTTAGGGTGTAGTAAACTCTTGGAACGCCTTTTTTTTTAAATTTATATAGTTCATTAATTGATATTCTTTACATAGTGCTGCTTGTTAAAAAATGAATATTATCAGCTTGTTAATAGTTTAAAAAAATGAATGTTAATAGCTTGTTAATAGTTTAAATGAATGTTAATAGCTTGTTAATAGTTTAAAAAAATGAATGTTAATAGCTTGTTAATAGTTTAAAAAAAGGAATGTTAATAGCTTGTTAATAGTTTAAAAAAATGAATGTTAATAGCTTGTTAATAGTTTAAAAAAATGAATGTTAATAGCTTGTTAATAGTTTAAAAAAATGAATGTTAATAGCTTGTTAATAGTTTAAAAAAATGAATGTTAATAGCTTGTTAATAGTTTAAAAAAATGAATGTTAATAGCTTGTTAATAGTTTAGAAAAATGAATGTTAATAGTTTGTTAATAGTTTAAAAAAAGGAATGTTAATAGCTTGTTAATAGTTTAAAAAAAGGAATGTTAATAGCTTGTTAATAGTTTTAAAAAAATGAATGTTAATAGCTTGTTAATAGTTTAAAAAAATGAATGTTAATAGCTTGTTAATAGTTTAAAAAAAGGATAGTTTTTCCAATTTTATTTATGGCAAAGTAGAGGCAAAAAGAGCTTTTTTAATAAACATTGACTAGTATGTAATAATATGTAAGTTTTATATAAGAATTATGTTTTATATAAATGTATTTTATTTTGTGTTTTAAGCAAAATAATTTTATTTTCAGAGTATAGCACAAGTTGTGCTGATTGCTTGACACGTTACTTATGTCCTTGTTGCAAAAGTCGAACATATTGGAAGGTAACTGGACAAGGTGTTTTTTACAGAAAGGTTCCACCTTGTGGAGGAAATTTCGGAACTGGTAATTTTTCGTTTGTTTGTTTATACTTTTTTTAACAAAATTTTTAATTAATATCTTTGAACACCAGTGAAACAGTGGATCAATTCTTTTTTTTGTTTGTTTGTTTATTTTTTGTTTTTTAACAGACTTGGGAAGGGGGGGATGTTGTTTCTGTATAATCTCTGAACATTACATTATTAGAATGCTAGATATGTTTTTTAAATAGTTTTGAAAAAAATAACTAATTGTTTAATATAGTATAATCTAGAAAATTTGTACTCTATATAATTAAGATTTTTATAAATCTTAATTATATAGAGTACAAATTTTTATAAGATTATTATGAAAAATTTTTTTTATAAGATTATTATAATTATTATATATTACTTTCACGGCAAGGTTACCTTTGTTACACTCCATAGTGTGCCAGAAATGTTTAAAAATGGCAAAACTATTTACGGTTTAAATACACACATATGATACATGTTTTTTGAAGGTATTTGAGGCCAAGGATTTCTTTTTAGGGCTCCATTTTAAGTGTGAAGTTCTCATGAACACACAAGGGTGGTCATGGGATGTCTTTATGGTTTTTTAATTAGATGAGATATGTTGTATGTCTAAATATAGGTAATTTAGATTAGGGAATTCAAATCTATGCATATTTGATCTCTAGGAGTGGTCATAATCATATTGGTGGTTATTTTAGGGGTGGCCAAGGGTGGACCTGGGATGTCCCAATGGTTTTTCAGTTAGATGGAACAGTTGTATGTCTAAGTATAGTTAATTGAGGTTGGGGAAATTCTGGGCATATTTGGTCTCCAGGGGAATGTCGTACATAAGAAATTAAGTACATAAATTAAATAAAGAAAATGTCAAGATGACATTTTCTTTATTTAATTTATGTACTTAATTTCTTTGATAATGTGAATATAAACATCATTTTGTTCAATAAAATTGAACTTTATTAACATAATTTTTTTTTTTATATATAAGAATCTAGGTGATGACATACATTAGTACATCAAGAGCTCCTTGGCCTCCTCAGGTTGATTGGAGTCTTTGACTTTTCTCTGACTCTTCATTCTGGACACCTTAGTATTGTAACTGCAAAGCATTTTCATCATAAGATCATATTTTGTTTGGAGAATTTCATTATGTAATGCTCTCTATTGTTTTAATGTAAAACATTGAAATTATGGTCTTGAAATTGCAAAATCTTTTACAAATAATTTAATGTTTTTCCATTTTTTGGGGGTTAATTAAATGAGCAAAACACATTTGACCCATTTAAAATCCAATTTTCTACCCGAAAAAGGAATTTTAGAAAAGTCATTTAGTCGATATTAAAATTAAAAATAAAAGATGTTGTTTTCTCGCTTTCAGCACAACGAGAAATTAAAAATCTTTTTTTCTCGTAAACAAGCTAATTTCTCTTTACTAAACTAAACTGTCTTTTTACATAAAATTCTTTACTTATATAAATAAAAATAAGATATTTTCTCTTCCATAAATCAGATTTTTACACGTGTTTACATAAATTGTACATAATACAATAATCCACTACATTAAAAAACTGCTCAAACATAACAAAAATAACTACTAATAGAAAAACTATTAAACTAAAATCACATAGTCGTCATAGAATGTTCCATAACTTTCCACAACAACATTACGTTTCCATAACAACATTACATTTCCATAACAACAACATTACATTTCCATAATATTTCCACAATAATAAAATATTTGGAAAAGGTTTTAATAAGATTTAAGTGATTAAAAATCTAAAACTGTTCTTAATTTAAATCTTCTTAATTTTTTTAAAGCAAAATTTTAGAGTATAATTTAAAGTTGATCATGTGATCAACTTCTAGTCTAGTGTTTTTCTGCTTGTGTAAAGCTAAGTGTAAAAAAAAGTTGCGCATAGTAAAGTTTTTTATTGAAAAACACTTTGAAAAATGCAAGCATAAAAAATAAATTTTCATATTTCTGTTTCTTATTTCAAAATATGTCCATGGACTAATATATGGCGTAAAAAATTTAAATGTTGTAAAATTTTCTTACTGGCCTCATATTTCTTTTTTATATGATTTTTTCATTTTTACCAATATTTATAAGGTAAAATATTGCGATTGTTGTGGTTTTGTAGAATTATTATTCTGAGCTCAAAAATGTAAGAAAAATGTTATATCAGTTTTAGAGTTCTGAGGGTGTCTAGATTATATAAATATAAAAAAATTACTCCAATATAGAAGTTGGTTTTAAGGGGTTTTGCTCACCACTGACCCGCTGTACACTGTGTTGAATACTTTTCAATATTTTTATGTTAGTTTTTCTATAAGTATAGAAAAGCTTAAACAAAAAGCTTGGGTTAATAAAAACTGAATTTAATATTTTTAAAAACATTTAGTCAAAATTTGCAAATATGTGTTTAATCAAACTATGCATAGGCTTTACTTTAGGAGTGCTTGCAAATCCTAGATCCACTTAAGGTTTGTTACA